TATATATATATATATATATATATATATATATATATATATATATATATATATATGTCAACCTTTTTTTATTCTATTTAACCTACTCAAGTCAAAATTTTAGTCCTCTTCTATCTATCGAAATTGTAGTCTTACTTTGATTTAAAATTTGTTAAATTTTAATCCTTTTGCAACACGGAACTTTCTAATGTGTCTGCATATTTCATAAAAGATAAACTAAAACGAAAATAAAAGTTCTGGCCCGAGAAACTATAACACAATTTCATAATCATATCATGATCTAGTAGTTTTCTTAAATAGATTTCCAAATATTGTTGTCTTTCTGTCCTGAAAAAAGTATTTTACTCTCTTAAGACAATCTTAAACATAAGGTCAAACTATGAATATTCCCGCCTATGTTTATTTGTGTTTATCTAGATCTTTATATAATTCAAGGTCGTACAATTATAATTAGATTTTGTGAAAAATTTTCAACGTATGTATAAAGGCTAAAAATCGTGTGATTTTGTCTAGGAGATGATAGGACGTACATGTGCGTGTGTGTGATGCTGATTATACATTCTACGTGCAGCACCTCTTTATCGCAGGATTGCTTTCTGTTTTGTCGTTAACCACGAATCGAATTGCACTTGTCGAGCTCTTTGAGAAGCCTCCTCGTAAATTTTTCCCGTTAAACTGGGAGCAGATCCGCGCCGAGTTCCAGTTATCGCGCGGCTCGGCCCGTTATTAACGGCGAACATTATGCGAAAACTTCCATCCCGCCGCCTTGAAAGTTCGATCGTTATTTTCGCTGTAATTATTTTATGCTTTAGCGCATCGAATGTTCCATTTCAGTGCCTCTACTTCGGGGCATAATCGAAGAACTTGGACAAGACAGAAACCATACTGCGGATGGGGGAGAGCCGGGAAGCGGAGGCAAAGCAACTCTTGCTTTATCTCTCGCTGCCACTTTCTTCCGATCTTACTCATTGTTCGCTCTCAGAAAGGGCGAATTGTCTTTTACCCGGATATTCATTAGCTCCTTTGATGTTCCCCGTTGCGAATTTTTATTCTCATTAAGCGATAAACAGCGCGTGGGTTTGTTTTCTAGGCGCCCGCGAAACGAGGCGACTTCAAACTTTGCGAGAAAATCTCGCGCGTTTATTTCATGTTTTGCATAAAGTATTCATCACACACTCCGCCTACTCTCGGCAAAGTTACAATTGTTTTATAATACATAAAAAATACTCGTCTCCCTCTCTCTCTCTCTCTCTTTCTCTCTCTCAGCCTCCTCTCCGAGGCGATAAAAAAGCGCCGCGCGTACGAAGATATATTACGTTAACTCCGGCGTTATTTTACACGAGATTGAAATATTACACGACGATACATCGCGGGGAATTGAAATCAATATTCCAGCGTGTGTGGTGGCACTGACCCGGGCGGCGTTCGGAAAAAGAAAGCAACAGATGTTCGCACGAACAAACAACACCGTGCGCGCGCGCGCGCGCGCGGATACGTGACGCGAATGCAATCGAACGGGCGCGATCATCTGTAACAATGATCTCGCATCGGAAGACATCAAATATTTATCACGCGGCAAAGCGGGCTCCTTTATAAGAAGCCCGGAGGTAGGGACGCGCCCTTACTTTGTGCCGGCTTTTCGCTCTCCTTTGCGTTCCGCGCCCGGGCGTAGGCCAATTGTCTCTCCCGGGATATATTAGCCCTTCTGAGGCTCTCCACCCTGATAACACGCGGAAAAACGAGGATCTTCTTCGCCTCCCTCGGTCTCACCCTCCTCTCGCTTACGTCTCCGCCGCCACGTACATCCCCGCCGGCGGGGAGGAGGTTGGAGGGGCAAAACTGCAGATTTTACATCCGTTCGCTCGGGCGAACACCGCCGCTCCTTCCTCCCCCTTGGTCGCAACCCCTCACGCGCGAGCTTCTCCTTGCCGCGTCGAACTCGACGTACAAAAGGCGCCTTCGAGATTCGGCAAGAGCGAAAAGTTTCCTCGCCGGTAGTTACGCCACTCGCGAAATTCACCTCGAGACTTGCTCTCGCGCAGCCTTCCAACTTTTACTCCCGCGCGCGCGCACGCTGAGATATTTATTCTCGTGTTCCGATATTAAACTCGATTAGCCCGCGAGCGAGAGGCTGCGGAAACGTGATGCCGTTTTGCTTCTTCAATGAGAGGACTATTCGCGAAATTCTCGATGAAACTGCGTTAATCTGTCAGGAGGGGCGCACTCTGCGTTAAGGATATTATTTATGCCATGGCATGTCGAAGTATGGACACGTAACGGCAGCTCTGCTCACAAAGTTGAAGGGAATTATTAGCTCGTTAATCTGTAAATGGTGTGACACTTTATACTGAATATATTATTTATGATGTGCGCCACATACACGTGACACGTAAAAGAAGCGGCGTTCGCGAAGTTTAAGACGCTGTGAATTTCAAGTCTATTCCTTGCGAAATTTATTTACAGTCTGAGACGCGAGATTTGCACGGATTTATCGCTTTTCCTTTCTCCCGCGGAAAAGACGCCGAATCCAGGACACCCTGTACAGAGCTTAAACTTTATCAGATTATAATAAAACTTAGTTCGCGAGCTTTAGCCGGGGTGATAATATCGGCGGCTGACACGTCCTCGATTTCTCGCCATAAATCCCCGATCTATGGAAATTTCCGCGCAAATACTTGCTCGCGAGTTACAAAAGTGATATTACTTTGCCGAACGACACTTTAACGTTTCTGTTCTGGCGAGGGCACGCTTTTACAGGCGCAGACAGATTCGCCGGAAGTCGATCCGGCGGGCAAAACGTTTCCGTAAGGGTCGCGTAAAAATAAACGGGCGCGAGCGCGTTGGATATTTGAAATCGATGGCGGTACGCATTTTTCCGCCGTTCGTCTTTTTAGCGAATACGTTCGGCGGCAGATTTACATGCACGAAACGGCCAATAAATCGCTAAAAATATCCGTTCTTCCATTTCTCGGCCGGTATTTTTCAGTCATCGTGCGGTCCCGTCCTCTTTCTCTCTCTCTTCTCCTCCCTCTCTTTTTTTCCTCGTCTTCGTGCCGTCGCTTTGAAAACGGTGCCACAAAAAGTATACGATCGTAAAGCTAAATCAACGGACTTAGAGCGCAGAGAGGCGTGCATACTCGCATTTGCGAGTTAATTAGTTGCGCCGCCGAAGGCAGAAAACGCTCTTCGAGTTGGAATTGAATTGATGCACTTCTTTGTCGCGAGTCGACGAGGCGCGGAAGGGAGAAGAGAAGAGAGAGAGAGAGAGAGAGAGAGATAAAGGCAGAGATAGACAGAGAAAGGAGAGTAAGGATTATTTTGAGCTTCTCGGGAGCTCATCCAGGACGAGATGTAAATCCTCCTAGAGATAGAGAGTACTCGAGGAACTTCTTGTCGAAGATAATTCCTCGTTGAGGGTTATGTACAGGGCGCGGAATGGAGAGTACGCTTCTGAAATATGATAATACACACCGTTCTTCCCACTTTTGCCCCCTTTTGCCCGGGGGTGGCGTATTTGCCGGACTCTCTCTCCCTCTCTCTCTCTCTCTCTTTGTAAAGCAATCGTCTGTCTCGTAAATGACATTACGATTTGAGTTGCGTGTAGGCGGATGTATTACGAGCGAGTGGTCTCGCGGGAGAGGAGAGGTTGCTGAAAGCAACCTATTGTACACGGTGATTCTGTGTCCCCTAAACTAAATTAAAACGGCTAAAAGTAGCGGTGTCGCGCGGTGTACACTTTTTGACTCTGGAGACAAAGTTCCTTAAATGTTACCCCCGCGCGGATGTGAATTATACTTGAGGATAATTAAGAGCGACTCGCAACGAACATTCGCTTTTACATTGTAGAGGGACTCACGGGCTGTAACTATGTTTCGCGGTGTGAAAAACCACGTCGCAGGTTGACGATAATGTAACGAGCGGACTAACCGATAGTCGCGAGTCCCCAGAGAAGCGTATATCATTTTCTTTCTCTCTCTCTTTCTCTCTTTTTTTCATTATAATACGCACAAAAAGAGAGAGAGAGAGAGAGAGAGAGAGAGAGAGAGAGAGAGAGACAGAGACAGAGACAGAGATTAAAATAATCTTTTCCGCAACGTCGTCCTAAAATTGACGACGAAGTTGCGGATTTGCTTTCGGAGGGACTCGGCGTAGCGTGTTAAAATTTGTTTCAGCAAAATCGTCTCGTTGCGGTGCGAGAGATCCGCGGCTCCGTGACAATTACTCGAGCTCACGCTTTCACGGTGCGGCGCGCGCCCCCGCGCCATTGTAACGATAATTAACCCAGGTGTAACAATCGCGCCGCTGCAGAGATCCTTTCGTCCTTTCAGGAAAACTCTGCCCTGCTGCAGTTACTCCGCGGCCGACACCGGTGGCCTGGCCAGAAGTTCCGTCTTAGTTAGGGTCGACCCACGGCCCGGAAGCGCGAATTCCGGAAGTTACGCTACCATCGCCGACCTCGAGCCGCTGTACGCGAGGCCATGCGGTTCCAGAGCGAGTTACTACGCGGCGAGCCACGTTACGCATCTCAGCCAGGTATGCAATAAGACAATTTCGCGAGGGTTGCGACGGGATCGCAGACTCCCAAGTAAGGGTTGAAGAATATAAATATGTGCTCCTGCGTGAATTTTCGCGCTCGTATCAGCATTTGATGATTACATGTCTGCGTAAATTGCCACTTTGCGTTGCTATCATCATATTGCACGAATAAAACTGAAAAATTAATATAATTGAGACACAAGTTAGAGTTTAATTTTAGTTTATTGTGTTTAATTTTAGTTTATTGTGTGAGCTACATTACACCCATTGGACATACAGCATCAGATTGTACAATGTTCGGCGCGAGACGCAGCACTAAAAGTTTTGTGTAGTTGTTGAAATTGTTAGTAGATTCGCAACTCACAAGTAAACCTACCCAAATTTCTTTAGCCGAGATTTCAATCAAAATATTTTAAATCTGTGCTAAATTAGTCAAAAATGATTCGAATCCCGGCCAAACTGAGAAATCCGGCAATTTTAATTAAAATTTTAACAAAATCGGTATAGCTGAGACACGAACTATTCTAAATTTCTTTAGCTGAGATTCCAACCGAAATATTTTAAATCTGTGCTGTGAATTACAGATTTAAATTAGTAAAAAATATTAAATTCGAATCTCTGCTAAACCGAGAAATTATTTATATAAATAATTTTTTTCAACTTTTTACATTTTTTCTTTAAACATTTTATTATTTATACAACTAATTTCTACATAATTTACACATAATTTACAAATAATTTACACATTTGACTTCATATTTATAATCAGCAAACCAAAAACGCCTATACCCTATTCAATTTTATTTCTTATGCATTTTTGTTGCACTTGATGATAGGAGTAAGAATATTAAAAAGCTATAAACTGCCCATGAAACTCAAAGTGTATGTGGACCAAAATGAAAAAATATAACCTAAATATTTTTTGTACCTCTATATTTGTGCCAAATTAGAATGAAATGAGAAAGGAGTAACTTTTGGGTAGATTTACTTGTCAGTTATAACGGAGAAACAAAATTAACGGGATAATCGCGCGATCGAGGCGGTGGTCTTACTTGGCCGGTGACGGTGTCGTGCACAACAAACCACGCGACTCGGCTTCCTGCGTGCTCGTAGCTTCATGGTTTTTTCTAATCGCGACGAAACAACCGTGAAACAGGCTCGACGCGAAATTCGTATTGCGCGTCAGGAAATCCGATTTTCTCCCGGTCGCTTCTTCTACCTCGCTATCGCGAACTCCGCGCGTCTGCCATCGACTACCGGAAGCGGAAACAGTGCGAGACGACTCCTCCTCCTGTCTCATCCTGCGTCCCATCCCGTTCCGTCCCATCTCGTCTCGTATACACAACGAGTGCCGTGCCTCGCAACTTTATCGAGTTTGCGGCCGAGCGAGCCGCTTTCCACGGACAACTTTAGCGCCCAACCCTTTTGCAGCCCTTCGGCTCTTTATTCAGCGATTCTAAACCCGCCGACCTACAACCCCCATCCACTCCCATCCGAGACAGGACGAGACCAGACGAGACGCAAGGAGCCGTGAGAGGGCGGGGGAAAGCTCTACGCGTGTAGTGCCTTTTTCGCTTCGATTTTCGTCTCCTCGAGCGTGTCACCGATTTCTGCGTTTCGAGAACGAAATCCCTCCGTCCGTTCCCTTCTGTTGTCGCTTTGGCACACGTAGCTGCTGGCCGCGTCGTCTTTGATCCCTTTGACAGCTTTGACTCCGCGCACTGCCGAACGAGATGTTTCGCGCATCGATTGCTCGGTTGGAGATCCGTTCTTCGGCGTATATATTTTCTTGTTTTGGCAAAAATCCAAGTCTCTTCCTTCCGATAGAGAGTATACATTCATCGGCCAGCAAACACAGACATTCGTCGCTCGCTGACGTGAATTTTGAGCGATTAGCATAGCGCGAATGTATATAAGTGGAATAAAAGCGCGCGCTGTTAAAAACTACATTCACGCCGACAGTTTCTCTGTGCAAGATGCCTCTGTCTTAATTTGCACGTGTCGTTTGCACGATCTGTAATCGCTGAATCGTATGTTTGTGAAACAAGCGCGGGTGGCAGAATCGATTGTGGTTTGAGTGAGAAAAATAACAGCGAGTAAGCGAGAGCAGCTAACGTAATTTATACGGCTATCTTTATGGGAAGATAAACCAATTCGTAAGTACCCTCGCGCGCGCCTGTCCACACGTATACACGTAACATTTACGGCCGCCAGCCGCAAACGGTAAAGGTCGAATTCAATAACTGGCTACGCACGCAATCGCCGGCCGTGTCACGGGCCGTCGCGTCGTTTTAACTACCGTTTTATGCACGCGCTATTACCCGGCCACTATTACTCCGCATCGCCTGCGGAGTATCTTCCCGCGAAGTGCGCAATCAAAGAGAGAGAGAGAGAGAGAGAGAGAGGTGTGAGGGGTCGCGCGAAAATGTCGAATAAATATGAGATCGCGTCTCTGTGCGTGAGAGTCGCCGCGCCGAGGGCCGTCTCGTCGGAACAAGCGTTTTGCATTAATTTCCCCGGGAAAAGAAACGGGCACTGGGATACCATCTGCACTCTGTCGACCGTGTGAGAAGGGTGGCAGGGAGAAAGAAAGAGAGAGACAGAGTCTGTGTATGTCGGCGGGGGTTGCATACATGGTTACCAGCAGCCGCCGTCGCCGATGCCGTCGTTAACGCCGACATTCGCCCTTCTCAGACGCGCGCGCGGAAAGGAGACGCGAGGGCGAGGATCGGGAGGGAAGCAGACGGCAGAGAGACAGCGACAGAGTGAGAGAGGTGGAGGGAGAGGGAGTAGAGAGCGGTTGGAAGTGGGTTCTGTGATTGTTTCGGCTTTGATCTTGGATCAATTTACCGGGTATACGCGTATGTGCCTCAACCCTCCGACGCGACGCTCAGTCTCGAACGCAACCAACCCTATGAACACACATAGAGGCACGCGCGCTCGCTCCAGCATGGCACACACACCCACGCATACACACACAAACATACACACATACACACACACACACACGCATGTGCAGTCAGCCACGCGTACGCGCAGGCACGTACACTAACCAATTGATGTAACCATCAACCTTCGTGAAAACTTACCCTCTCCGTCCCCGAGCCAGCCCGGCTCGGTCCCTCTCGGACCGACCGACTGACGTAATCCAGCGACGTCTTACCCCACCCTGTAAAACGATACGCTTGAGATCCCATTGCCGGGGAAGCCATTACCTGACGCTGTCTATCGGGGAAACGATCTTCGGCACGAGGACAAACATGTCCTCCTCCTGGATCCTCCGCTCTTCCTCTTCCTCTCTCGTCTTCGCAGCGTGGATTTCCGCGCGAGCGAGTGAGCGAGCGAGCCGCCGCGCAGGGAAATGGCGGAATGGCCTGGCGACCCGGCATTTTCCGCATGGTCTGTCCGGGCGCCAATAGCCGTTTTTTTCCTCGTAAAAGTTGGACGTACTTCGGCGCGATGGTACAGCGACCGAGATAGCCGGCCGTGTATTTGCCGATGTTCTATCCGATACTCGCGCTTCACACTTTCCCGGGGTAGTGGCGGATAGTTATTTGCCGGCGCGTATTACCATGGGAGATTAACCTTGAACAGTCCAACTTTTTTCCTTCTACAAGACTAACCGTTGCCTTCGCTCGGGGAGGACTTTACTCGCTGCCCTGATTAGAAATCCAATGCAGCTTTCCCGATCAGTCACTGGACAGTTACGTTAATTTTTCTGCAGTAACTGAAAAATGCAATCACTTGGCATTCCAATTAAAACGTTCCCGCGGTCACTGCGAAAGATTACTAGGAAAGGTTACTAGGAAAGATGTGCGAATTCATCTCACTACACGAAAACAAAACAGTAAATGGACGGAGAACTATTCTATTGATTAACCCTTATAGTGAATATTTTCGACACCTTATAAGAGAGTGTCGGGGAATGCTCTTTCAGAAGTCATTATAAAACTGAATTAACATCGCTGATACTATATCTATATAAAGATTTGATCCACATATTGTATTGTATACTATTTCAAGCATCGAATAAATCTTCATCAGGTTCTCCTCCAATTTCTACGTCATGTTTTTACAATTAGTGATGATGCATTAGTACCAGACAATACCTGAGCGGGTGTCTACGCAAACTGCATACATTTCTACCAGAGTGAGTGAGCGGATATTTCTCCAAAACATCGCGATGCAAAATGTACGGTATTTTACGATGTGAAATCCGCTATTTTGCAGCTGACATGTGTAGATCCTTTCCTCGTGTCCGTGGACCGTGAATCGTGAGGGACGTGTGTCGGTAAATTAAGGAGTAGCGCGGTAAAATCAATTAAAGTATCTCGCGCTCGATTAAAAATTGCGAAGTCATTCCCCTCGAAACTGCATTACCCTCGAGCGAGCGCGGAGCGCGAAGCTTTCATGACGGAAAGCGGTGGGAAATACCTAGCAGTTTATTTCGTAAATTGCACCCGGAGCGACATCGCGCCTCGGAAAATACGACGGGCACCGAGGCAGTATTAAAAGCAGCGAATCATTTTTAAGGTAGCGAGCGGGATTGCAGAAAGGCGGCGGGCGCCTGCTTCGTCGAATTAGCGATTTACGTCGTGAGATGTATCGAGTCGCGAGTTGTTAGTCGCTCACGGGGTTTACGTAAGCGGATTCTTCGATTTAATTAATTCTCACGTTCCGCTCCGTCCTGCCGGGCCCACCGGCGGCTCTTGATCGAGTGAGACCCGGGGACTGTATTATTAAATCGACAAAGTCGAATTAAAAGTGCGCGTCGCCCTGGGCATGTTCGAGCACGGTAGTCTGGAAACGAAGCTTTTAGAGCGCCTTCAATGAGGTACGAGCGGACGAACGAGCGGACGAACGAGCGGAGGAACGAACGAACGAACGAACGAACGAACGAACGAACGAACGAACGAACGTGATGTTTGACGAGAGCCTTTCAGTAAATAAATCAAATTGCCGCTCCGTACCGCGGATGAGCTAAAAATGCCTGCCCGTGGCACACTACACGTTCGATACTTCGATTCTGATTCCGTAATGTAAACAGCGAAGTAATATCCATTACTAGATTGTTATGGAAAGTTTGGGATGTTCCGCGCACATATCTTCCGTCATAATATTTCCCCGTTCAGGTGAACAAACAAGTAATACGCGATGCCGAATGAACGAAGCTTCACTCTAGAAAATAGTCCTGCAGTTATAGCGAGTATTATCTGCACATGAGAGATTAGCTGAGACGGACAAATGAACTGCGACATGTTTTCTGTTTCATCGTCATGCAGATGACAGAGAAAGGATTCTCTCATCATAGATTCGTTTGTGGTGCGTGGGCAGAGTCCATTGTGCCTTCGCACCTAAAGACGAAGCTTTGAGTCGACATCAAAAGCAAAATTTTATTTAAAAAAGTAATTAACAAGTACGAAGTACAACATTTCTAATTAAAATAAACCGTCCTCAAAAAGCTCGAAGGCCTTAAAAAGTACGAAATAATTTTTATTCAAAATTTCTGTGTACAAGGAAGAAAACTTTAACTGTGGCATTAAGGTTCTACTTGAAGCAGCGGAATATTCTTTTAAGTGTTCGAGTCGAACAAGTCACGATTTTGATGTCCGCTTTCAGAATTCGAACGTATGCTCGACTCCGGTGAAATATTTTCCGCATTTTAACGGTCTTTTCTGAACTGACGATATCAGAATTGCTCGCGGGGCTCGATCGTGCGATGATGCGTGCATCGGTCAAATAATGAAGTAAACAAAGAAAGAACACACAAGAGTGGAGAAAAGTAGAATTTAATTAAATAAAGTGAAATAATTTCACGCTGGCGTCCGCGGTTTAATTACGCCGGCGAGTTGGCGACCATCGGAAGCCAGACGGCACTTTAATTCTTAAGGCAATCTATATTTATAGCTTCGTTACGCGAGTCCGGATTCTATTCGCACCTTCGGCGCGTCGAGCGGTCCCCGGTCGCAGCGGCAATTTCCACCTCGCTCATCACATTTTCATCGGGAAACAAAAAAAATACACTCACACACAGAAACGGAGAGAGAGAGAGAGAGGGGGGGAGGAGGGGAGAGAGAGAGAGAGAGAGAGAGAGACGAGGATCGAGCCGCGGAAAAAAATATAACCGCGAGGGAAAGCGAAATCGACGAATCGCGTTCGTCCGAATCCGGGCTTTCCCGTGGTTCGCGCGAAAACAACGTTCGCCAGGCGCGCCGACACAATTCGCCTCTGCAATAATCACAGACCTCGATAAGCCGCGGAATTAGCCGCGGTGTTTGCATTTTCACTGTGCATCCCACGCCGCTATCCGGGAATTTCGTAAATAATTTCCGAGACCGAACGACCGACCGACCGATCGACCGACCAACCAGCCAACCAACCAACCAACCAGCCAGTCGGACCGGCCGTCCATTCGTACCCGAACGCTTACCCCTCGCGCATCACCTCCGCCGGCGCGCGACCCTTCCCGCATCCAATGCACCGGCCGGTAATTTCGCGACGCGGTCGCATCGACGTGTTCCGAACTGGTTTGCCGCCGTTTCCTTCCCTTTTTTCGCACACCTCCGCCACCTGTCCCCCTCCTGCCGTCCGCTGCTCGTCCTCGTCGGTCTCCTGTCTCTGTGCGTGGGCGACTGCGCGCGTGTGCGTTTGTCCAAATGGGCGAAGGGGTGGGGCCGAAGGCAAAACTCCGGAAAATTGAAATTAATGAATAGTCACCCCTCCTGTGCGCGTCGCGTAGCTTCCTCGCGTTTTCACGTCGGGACCAATGGAAATCCGCCTGGCGAACAAAGAGGGCCGCGCGCGGCGATGCCATAACGACGCCCGGGGGGAGGCTTCTTCCCTGCGCGTCCCCGGAGGATCCGACCGGTCGGGGTCTCGTCGGCGTCACCTTACACGCGACAAATGCCTTTTTAATGAATCCTCGCCTGATGGATTCTTTCTTTTTTCTTCTTTCTCTTTTCGGGCGTTATGAATTATGCAAGCGCGTCCGCGCGCGATCGGGAATTTAAACGAGCGCTCTTCCCCCCCCCCCCCCCC